TTGCTGAGGATCCTAGGCGACATGCCAAACCTCCTCAGCCTCCTCAGGAAGTACAGCTGTTGTTGGGCCTGCTTGACCAGCTGTGTGGTGTTAAGTGTCCAAGTGAGGTCCTCACTGATGTGGACGCCCAGGTATTTGAAGCTGCTCACCCTCTCCAAAAAAAACCCGAAGAAACAGTAGTGGCTGATGAGATCTCCTCTCCTTCCTCATGTCCACTATCATCTCCTCCGTCTTGTCCGCACCCACAAACTGTCCACACTAGGTCTGCACCCCACCCTAATGTGACACCTGTGCAAACAATAACTCCAACATGTCTAAGGAAACCAGCAATTTGTGTATTTGTAGCTGGTTTTTCACTGATTAACAGTGTAGAAATGAATGAACTGGAGCTGTAAGAGGAATCAAGGTCTCATTTATAAATCATCACTGCTATTGCACCCGCATGCTTTGTTAAAAAAAGTGTAGCCTAAAGATGCAGTGCCTTCTGTATCAATGGAGCCAGCATGTGTTCTTCCTTTTGCTGGAGCAATTGCATCTTGCACAAGATCTGTCACAAAAACTATTCGATTTATAACCAAATTGTATCTTTTAATTTGCTCAGTATCACTAAGTGTAAGTAAAACATCTCTCCTCCTGCTGCGTCTGTGCGCTTATCTCTGTCTGAACACCACCTCCTGGCAACTCCTAACAAGTTAAAACACCTCTGGGGCTCTTCTACATTTTGGTGGAGATGGGACTTATTTCCTAATATAAGAATGTTGATAAATTATACTCCTATAAATAATACCAAATATGTGTAAATTTGAGAATTATTGGGCAGTTAGGAGTGATGTGGAGAGTTGATATTTACCGTATACATGCAGCTTTCCACCACTGCAGGTTCAGGGATCAGGCCAGGTAAACAGCGGGTGATGTAGCGCTGGAGGATGTCAATATCAGACCTGTCTGTCTGCTTGTCTGGCTGGTCTGGGTCTGTCTCATTGCCCTTATGGTAACATACCTACACAGAAATGTATTTATCAATGTTATTTGATTTGACTGATTTTGATTTGATTTGATTTATTCATTCAAGCATGTAAAACAGTTGATATGTCAACACATGTAATTTCACACATATCCAACAATAATAATCCAATATCAATTTACTTATACCTAGTACATGCTTGAACGGAGTAGGAAGAGGTTAGACTTATCTAGTCCTTCCCCATGACATCATCTTACAACTTTTAAGTCCTAAGCAATATCTCTACA